TCCGAGGTCCTGGAGGAGGACCTCGTCTCAAGGCTGAAGAGGATGGTTGCATGGATGGAGGCAGTGCAGGAGTTGGAGCACCGAGGGATAAGGACTGTGATGTTTTCTGTTTCTTCCGTGATGCTGAAACAGTTGGACTAGGTAGGGGGTCATGAACAGGCTGAGCAGCATTAAGTGTACCAGGTTGAAGCCCACTTTTTCTCCATTGCCTAGTAGTATATAATATAACATGTCTCATAAAAAATGCAGAGCTATCCAAACATAATACATATTTGGTGCTCAAACCAACATGGGATAATATTATCAGACCTTATTCTCTGGATCATGTCATCGGCATGGACCCTGGACAAAAGTTCTCTGTGCTCCTCATCAGATACTCTCAGCTCCTTTCTAAGATTTGTCATTAAAGTTTCCTTATCCTGTAAAGTACATTAGAACTGACTTTCAGGCCTAAGTTTACACAAATAATACTTTGATCCTAAGGAAAAGAAAAAGAAGAAACAACAAATAGTTAATCAAACAGCTACCCAGGTGATGGCATCAGATTGAGCACTAAATGCCCTTAGAAGTGAACAGTACGCTTCTTGCTCAATGCGGTGAATCTGGGTTTCCATGTCACCATGCATCCTAGGTAATGGAGCAGAACTGACGGCTGCAGATCTTCCATTCCCAGAAGTTCGGCCTCCTCTTTGAAACCTATTTTGATGAGACGGCGGAAAGTCATCGTCCGTTCCTGCAAATGTTTCAGAGCATAGCAAACTATTATTTCTAGCTTCAGTAACAAGCCCCTTAGGTTTTTCAAGAACTTTGCAATAGCAAAGCATAAAATCCTTTTTATTTCTAAGGCCTTTGTCCCCGCCAATAGCCACCTTCTTCAATTATACACATGTCTATATGCACGCAACATATAATAGCACGCTATTTCTTGTATCTGTGCCTCACAAAGTAGGCATAAACTATATGTATATAGAAATAAGGATCTTATATTCCAGAGTCCAGGCAAGCCACGTAAGAATGTGTTCCTTCCTCAAAATGTATCCTGACACTAGCATAAAAAGAACTAAAAATGAAAATCATACCAACATGTTCTGATAATACAGAAGATGGGTTCTAGAAGCATGCACGGTCCACTAAAAATGTTGCTATAGCATCCAAGAGCAGTATCAACGTTAAATAACAGCCTTGCAGGTATTTAAAACAAAAACATTATAATATGCTTAAAATACATCTTTCATTATTTCTACACTAAACTAAAGCATCCTTGGTTAAACTAATAGAAGCCATAACTTAGCATTAATTATCAACTTTACTGAATCGCTAAAACCCAACCAACAACAACCACACGAAATGTGGCCAATATGAAAACTCTTAATGCCAGTAGGTTTCTTTTCTCAAACAATTAGCCACTTTCTCCAACACAGTGACCTTGGCTAGAATCAGAATAGCAGGACCTAACTACCATTTACCAAATTCCACAGAGAATTACGAGTGAATTTAATCCCTAGAGGATGAAAAACAATTCCAAGCAACAAAAAAGAGTAACTATCTTTTGGGTGTCCACCCAGTGTTCAGAATGCAAATATACAAGGTTCAAAACAACAAGCAAGACTAACTTACAGACGGGAAGAATGGAATACCCGAATCGGAGTCAATCTTCAAATAATGGCATCAAAGTACATGTTGTGGGAGAACTTAAAGGTCTTACGCGGTGTTTCCAAACCAACTTATAAGAAGTAAAAGAAAGACCAAAGCCGAATACAAAATCGTATTACCTCGGAGCACAAGCCGGGTACACTACATTACAATTAAATTTTCTTCTAATTCTACCATGGTCGACCAAAGAAAGTTAAATTTCAAGACAAACCCACTAAAATGATGAATTCAAGAGTAAAAAAGTACATCCAGAGCACTAATTAAACCCAAATTCTACCACACCTAACATAAATTCAAGAGTTTGAGTCAAATTACTCTGAGAACCAATAGATTACACAATGGAAGAACAAAGGTACTTAAAAACCAAAATTGAAAAACAGATAAGCAAATTCAACTTGGCTTACCACTGCTATCAGAGAGCTCGTAGTCCATCACCGCTCCCCAAAACCAAGACTTTCGCTAAAAACCTAGCAAACCCACGTCGAAAGTCGATCAATTTAGCAAACCCACGTCGAAAATTCGATCAGTTTCATCGAGAACTTGAACTTGCACCCACTGGTACCCTCCAAAACAGATCAATTCGCCGAATTTTACCTAATTTCAAGCACAGTGCGGTCCCAAAACCTCATAGAAGTTGAAATTAGGGCACCAAGAGTGATGGAGAAGGCGATCGATTGACGTCAATGCGAGCGAATTGGGAATTGGAATACCTGTGTTAATTGTGGGGCATAAATAGAATTTCGAAGAGATGTGGGGTGAAGAGAGTGGGGATTGGACTTGGAGTGTGAATTCGAAGAAATTGAACTCCGGCAGACGGATTGGAGATTGGAGATTGGAGATAGGTCGGAAGGGAAGTCGCGGACTTCAAACTAGTTCTTGTGGCGCCCTAATGTTTTCAGTTAATAGTTCAGTTTCAGTTCCGTGTTTCCTATTGGCTGTTGGTTTTTATTTCGGGAAGCCATGTGGAGCTCAAATGTGGGCCCCACATGCGTGCCATGTCAGCGGACTAAGCGGAGGAGTTTTCATGCCACATCGAACCTTTTTAAAGTATGAGGACTATTTGATTTAAGGTGACTTTAATGAAAAGTTAAAGTTTTTAAAATTTTTTTATTACTTTTTCTAATATTATTTAATATTTTTACATTAAAAAGTTAATTATAGTATTATTCAATATACTTTTTATTTTATTTTTATCGTTAAAATTCAAAATTTTCAAAATTTTTTCATTAATTTTCCTTTGATTTTAATGATACATATTTGCACATGATAATATATTATTATAAATGCTCTCATAAGGTCCTCATTTTGAGGACATGTGATGACGTCTTTTATATGAGCTATTGGATCAGTTTAAAGATAACAAAATGATGAGGTTATATAATCTTGTTATACCTAAACAAATTGCATAGAGCGAGTTAATTAAAAACAATAATTAAGGGTTCACGCGTTAATTCTTTCTAGTCAACAGAGAGGTCTTTCTCCAATAAAGGTTTTTTCTATGAGCATTTTCAAGTAGGTTGAACTTTGAAGGAGAGCAGCGAGCACATACTTCAAATTTCGTAGAGTCCTTGGAAAATTAAAATTCTCTTTCAAGCTTCTATAAGGTATTTTCTTTGTGGTTGTATTGATTTCAACCTTTCTTTGAGTTGTTCTTGAACTCGTGAGCGATTGCATGATTTTGTTAACGCCCTCTCAACTTGATTCTCCAATTTTAGATTCTTCTTCTTGTTGATAAAAAAAAGATGGTGCTATCCATATACCTGCTTTTACCCCTTACACACTTCTCTAAATTTCTGACCGTTGGATCGAGTTAATTGAAGAAGATCAATAACAAAAAATTAACAGAGTGTGTGGAAGGTAAAAATGTGTGTTTAATTATCACTACCTAAAAAAAATTGACGTGGTACCGGTTCAAGCCCAACTCCATTTTTTTTTTTTTGCATCAGTTTTAATTTTTGCTTTTTTGCCACTCAGTGCTACGGTTTGGTGATATCCCTCTTCACTTGGAAGTGAGAAGTCTTAGGTTCGAATCTCGTGAATAGCGAATTCAACACCAAATTAGGTTGCTCATTGTGTGGCTTAACCTAACTCCTCCTCCCACTAGTGTAAAAATATCGATTGAAAAATTTCAGGAATTTTTTTCTTGAAATAAGTTAACTATGTTTTAAAAAGAATTTTTTCAATGTTAATTGCAAATTGTACGATGGAAGAACAAGTTGCAGATGAACGTAAACCCAAAGTTGGCCAATAACTTGTTTCATGATTTTTACAATTATTATGCATGAGAAGTTAGATTTAGTGTCAGAATGGGTTCAAGTAAGAAGAAAAAAGGAGCGAATGAGATTACCTAGAAATAATTTGTTTGTTTAAAGGAAGGTGTACCAGATGAGACTTATCAGAAGACAAAGAAGAATACGTCAACCAAAGAAGAAAGGAATCTTGGATCAACATGTGTGTGTTGTAAGGCCAAGTAAAACATTTCTCGTGACAAGTCTAGGACAAAGTGGTCTACTTGTAACTTTGAACAATGTCATAATCATGTACTTTCAACCCCTACAATGGTACGCCTACTACATTTACACCGCAAAGTTTCGAAAGCAAAGAAGCTTTACATGGAAAGACTACGTAGTGCAAATGTATCTACAAGTCAACAATTCAGAATAATGAAGAATGAGGCAAGTGGAATTGCAGATGTTGGATGTACTACCAAAGATTTGAGAAAGGTTGAAAGAGATTTAAAGAAAAAAAGTCAAGGGACATGAATAATTTGATTTAGAAAAGATAAAGAAACCAACCTTTATATTTCGAAGTTGATAGAGATAAGGAAAATAGGTTCATCCCATTTTTGGGTTGATTCCACTTCAAGAAAAGCTTACTTATTTTTTTGGTGATGTAGTTGCTTTTGATACGACTTACAACACAAATAAGGGATAACCATCACAACCAGACAATTATATTTGGGTGTGGTTTCATTTTATCATTCAGGTTGCCTCTTCTGAGAAAGTTTCTGGCTCCATCCATGGATGGAAGGGTAGGCAGAAACATTAATCTCCCAACAACCAAATATAAAACTTAAATGTACTTTAGGTACAAAAGAAAATTATATATATACTAAACGCCTAACATTGTGGTTAATACCCTTTGTGTCCTTTTTACTGTTCATTCGCAAGTGTTCTTCCTTTTTTACCCTTTATTTGTTTCTGTCATCACTGTTCATTCTACAGTAGAATGGCATTTTTGTCCCTGTTGTGCAACAGGGGTTCTTTTATTCGTTTGTGCCTGAAATTGAAGGAGCGGAAAAACTGGGTTGTTCGGGAGACTTCTTTCTACAATTTGATTTTGTCACCTGGCGGCTTAGCATAATGACACGTGTTGAGTGGGACGCGTGTCACTTTACCCATCTCCTCTTTCTCTGCTTTTGCTTTGCTTTAGTTTTTTGTCTCCTCTTCCAGACTCCTCCATCCTTATTCCTCAACTTTGGACAACATCTCCTCCGCTCCATCTCCTAGCTATCTTTTTCTCTCTATTTTTTCTCCGACTTCTTTTTTATTTGTTAATATCGATTTGTTTCCGTTTATAAATGATTCTCATCTTTTTTTTTTTGCAGTTTTCTATGAAGGTTTATTTGCAGTTTTCTATGAAGGTTTAGTTGAACATGGGGAAATCAAGAGTTGATGCTCACAGAAAAACTGATGCGAAGTGAGATTATGTTTTTTATTTCCGTTTTGTTATGAATTTTCACAACTTTTTGCGATTTGATTCAAGATCTCGATATGAACCGTCAATTTTGAATTTTTGTTTAATTTCTGTACACCTGTTGGTTGCATGTCCAAGAAATTTCTTTTTTGGGTATCTTCATTGTCCAAGTTCTTGATAAGTTTCTGTATCTTTGAGAATCCGTTATTTATCATTTCTCCGTCAATGATTTTGACAGGCTGGTTCTTGAGTTTCTCTGTCTTGATTATACTTATCATCAATGTAAGTGAAAACAAATATAAAGTTGTACTGCGAACTTGACTTTTGAAAAGATCACCACCAAGCTCTGTTTGATATTAACCACATATCTCATCTTTATTTGTGTGTCGGTGTTGGTTTCTGATTTTCATAGGTTGAAGAGTAAACGTGGAGATGCGAGCAAGGAGGTTGCGAAGGATCCGAACAAGCTTAAGAGGCCTGCAAGTGCCTTATTCGTTGTCATATACGTTTCGTTTTTCCAATGATTTACTTTTTGTAATTTATGAATTTTTCGTTAAATTTTATCTAGAGAGGATTTTTTGGCTAAAAATTTTTAAGATTTATTTTCCACTTTGTTTCGATTTTTGGACCTCTTGGTGTTTCAAAGACACAAACCAACACACAACCCACATATTAATAACATTATCACTCCTACCTGTTAATTTTTATATTTTTTTTCAGATAAAATTTGAGGCCAAAGTTGTTCGCTTTTTTAGTTTCTGCTGCTGCTCGGCTGCCTTCAGACTATGTAATGAACTCTTCTTCCCCAAATATCTCTTCTTCTGATTGTATAATCTTCATGGTCTGTTTGGGCTGTTCGGTTTTCAATTGGATTCTCTCTGTTGGTTCTGTGTTTGAATTTGGAAAAATACATATGTTGCTTTTATAGTTTGATTAACAATTCTATTAGAATTGGCTAATTCTTTTACTAATCATTCGTTTGTACTCATATTTCTAACGTTGGAGGTTTATTCTAATTTAAGATGGAAATTGATGTTATGAAGAGTTTAAAATGTCAGGTCGAAACACTGTCTTTCTGCATGCAACTGAGCTTCTCAATTTCTTAATTTCTAAACATTTGAGGTACTCTTCTTCTTAACAATGCGTTCTCTCCACTTCCTTATCATGAGTTTGGTCACCGAGAGAGTGGAGAATGATTTCCTGAGTTCTCTTGCGTTGATTATTTAAGACTGAAACTAATGATGCCTTTGTTGAGGAATAAGCTTTTAAATGAAACTAAGCTGCAGAAACAAAGTCCAGGGTAAGTTGAGGGGTTTGAGAGGGTAAAAGTGGGATAATGAAGGGTTAGAGAGGAAAGTAAGGGTGGGACTAGGTGAAGGTTTGATGGAAGCTAACTCTTATATATGATGTCGTTGAAAAACAAAGTCAAAGATAAGTTGACGGGTTTGAGAGAAAGTAAAGGTGAGATTAATTGGAATTAGGCCATTCACTAGAATGGATATATTCTTATGTGTATTTGGAATACAAAGTAGTATAATATGTGATATATGTGGTATAATTTCTATACTTTTTCTTATGTCTTTTTATGCCTTGGTCCAATTACCTTTTGAATTCAATCTGTTTTTTTAGAAACTTGGTTGCAAGAAAAAGTTGGAAGGGCAACATAATTGGAAAATTGGGTTACAACAATCACCCTCTAAACTGCAGAGGAGTCTGCATTTGAAGTTCTTTTCGACTGGGATGAGAAGATTGGAGCCCCGAGAGCATTCATAATTAGAAATGAGCATCAGAGTGAGTTTTATTTGAGTTGATTACTTACCTTTATGTGCATTTTTGGTTTGGCTCTTATTTGAAATATTTTTCTAATTGTGATCATTGTGCTTCATGTTTTGTTAGGATTTTGATATTCTAATTTCTTTGTATAAGATTAGTGTATGTGTTAGGACTTTTGGGTTTAGTCATTTTTGTATACTATCACAAGATATGTGCTTGCACTTGCTAATCTTTTTTGCTATGGTTGTATAAATATGATATTGATGTGGTTATAAGAAATAAGAAAGTGACTTCAAATGCCCATTTCATTTGAGTCTTATCTGTTCCGTCTGAATATTAATAATCAGATCAAATTCTTTGACCTAAGCCGTAAATTTTGTGGGTTGAAAAAAAAAAACACTCTGAATTATGTGAAGTGGAATGAAACCATAGGTTTTTGTAATACATTTGGAAATGAACATTATTATGCTTTTGTAATATGATGCTCTCTTAATTTTATTAAGTAATTTGTTTCTGTAATACGATGATCTCTTAACTTGCTTTTGCAGATCTTCTTTGGTTCCTATGCTAGCTTTGTGTGTCTCCATCTCCAAATAATTTAGTTGAAAATCACTAATACGCATGCAAATTTGAAAGGGTTTTGATCTTTCGATGAGTTTAAAATGTTTGTTGGTGGTGGTTGTATTGCTGTCAAATATTTGTTGGATAGTTTGGAATGGAGAAGTTCGTTGATTTAGAGAAACTGAATACACAAGGAATTTGGAAGAGTTTTTGGTCTTATATTGGTTTAACTACTTTTTTGACAATCACGAGTACTGGAGGGAACTTTTGGTGTTCCATTGAACAATTTTTGTCATATTTTATCAATGTAAATGACACAATATTTCTTAACGGTTTTTTGCATGTAAATAGCCCAAAGTTCCATAACCTTTTGTATGTAAGTACTGCTGTTGATCGAAAATCACAAAAACTACCCAAGTGGAATGTGTAATATTCTATGTACGTAGATAGCCAACACTTCTACAATTTTATGTGGAGTATCAATTAAATATAGCAATGAATTGTATTAATCTTTTATGACACAATTTTTTATATCTGTCAAACATAATCCTTTTTACATTTTTTAATCCCGCAACAACGTGCGGGCAATAATTTCTCGTATTTTCTATTTGAGTAGAAACGAAAATGGAGTACTATTAAAAAAAATATAGGAAAATATGTGAGGAATATTATTCTTCTTGTGAACCTTGAGAAATTCCTCTTGCTTCTTTGTTCATCAGCTTCTTCTTCCAGGAAAATTAATTACCTCTGCTCCGACAACCTTTTGGTCAATTCAAAATAAAGGAGAAGTATAACTCAGCAATTTGCTTTGGTTTTTGCTCTCCAAACAAATTTATAAAGCATTCTGTAATGTAGCTTTAATAAAAAATTCAAAGCAAAAGATAAACAATTAGGTACATTATCATAATAAGTTACTCAATTGTTGGAGATCATTGGACCCTTTTTCAATTTATTTTTAAATTCTAGTGTCAGATTGATATGTCGTCGGTAATTAATTTTGATCAGTTCAACAATTGGTACTTGATTTGTGATGATTTTAGCCATTCCCATTTCCTTAGAAGAAAATAGAGAAAATAGAAAGAAAAGGAAATGACAAATGAAAATTTATGCATGAGAGAGATGTACCTTTTCCTTAGGAAGAGGAAATGTTGCTCATTGTTTACTTGGACTTGCATATTGCTGTGGAAGTCAGAAGTAGAGGTTAAAAACTCAGGGCACTCCAGCACATGCAAGTATTCCAACGAAGGGCACAAAAGTGTAGCACTTCCAGCGAGTACGCTTGTCAGCTTTGAAAGACTTTGCAATGCTAAGTTCTTCAGTTGTGGAAAAATGATCTCGTCATCCTGCACTATTAATCCCTCACTTACGCCGAAAAGTTTGTCCAAGCTATGGCATTCCTCCACCCAAGCTCTTCCAATTGCAGCAGACATTGAGCTATGTCGAATGTGAAGAGAGTTTTCAGTTTCTTGCACTTGGAAATTATCAAAGTTTTAAGATTATGAAACATTGCAGGCTGAGCAGGACCGTTCCATATGTTTGTCAGTTCTGGTAGATTCTCCAGTTTCATCTCTCTCAATTTTGTCAAGACCGTTTCTCCTTGTTCAAGCCCTTGAGATCTGAATGTATAAACCATGTCGGCTCCACCTACAATAAGTACTTCAAGATTTTGTAGTCTCCGCAACAGATTAGATGGAACAAGTGCATCCGTCACACCATCACACTGCTCCACCCCCAAGATCTTGAGATTTCCAAGCGACCCCTGCGGTAATTCACCAACACATAACTGCTGCAAGCAGTCCCATAAGAAGAGACGCAACTCTTCCAAGCTCTCGAGCACAGGCTTATTTGGAACCCTAGTTACTGTGTTCATCAAAGTTACCATCTCGCTGCACGCTTGGATATGCAAAAACTTTAGTCCATGTGACTTCCAATGATCGTACTCCACAAGAATGTTAGTTAAACTTCTAGGCTCCATGTAGATTATTTTCTCCGCTCTCTCCGTCACTGTGATGTTAAACCAATCTGGCAGCGTATTGATTGTTGTGTCCAGAAGCAAGGCTCTTGAAGTTGAATGTGGAGTAATAGTATTTTTTGATAATTGCACATTTATGGACCGATGAAATTGGTTTCTGCTGATACATATATCAAAATTTGCCCAGTTTCGAAGGAACCCTACATTTTTCGGAAGGCATTCTGCATCAGAAATGTCAACCTTCAAAATGTTTAAGTAACACAAGCTAATTAGCTCATCAAAACTAGCATTAGTTTTGTCATCTTCTCCTTCAACTTTCTTGCCCCAGTCAGCAAAACTCTGTTGCATGTATAGTTCTTCTAATTTGGACAGCCGCGATATCACATTGGATGGAATTGTTGCAATGTAGGCACTCAAAGTGAGATCCAACATCCTTAAATTGGTCAAATGTCCAAATTCTTCTGGCAATTCCTCAATAACAGATTCTCTCATACTAAGAACCTCCAGTTTTTTCAGTTCTCCGAGAATTGATACATCCGTTATTGTCTGACAATTATCTAGATGCAGCGCTTGGAGCTTGGTTAAGAGATTAAATGATGAGGGTAATGAAGAAATTTGGGTACTACTTATGTCGAATACCCTTAATGCATTTGGGCTTTGGAAAAAATCTTCTGGGATCTCCTCTACTTCAAAATTTGACTGTAGTAATAAAATCTGGAGTTTTGGACATACCAACTCGTCAGGAAGATTGCAGATTTCATTCCCCATTAGGGAGATTGCAGAGTAGTCTTCGAGTGAATTCTTTGGCCAATCCTTTAAGTCGCAGCCAGCTTTTACGAAGAATCCATGGCCATCCCCAGATGATGCAATTAGTATTGCCATGTCCCGAATCACATCATGCATTCTTACACATCCGTCTTCTTCACCATCCAAAACCAAGCTACAAGCTTTGAGGTACTTGGCCACCGAATGTGCTGTGCTTCTGGCTTCTTGCATTGAGTTGGCATCTCGAAACAATCCTTTCCCAATACCATACTTCAGCAAGTCTTCAATTTGGATATCAGAGTCCTCCGGGAATAAGCAGCAAAATAAGAAAAATGACTTGGCGTCATTGCCATTCAAGTAATCGTAGCTCAGCTTTATACATCTGAACACATCCCCCTCGTCATCAAGGTTGGTAGTTTGGGACATCTCTAGTCGTCGAGCTGCTTCTCTCCATTCTTCCAAGTCCTTGTCTCCGAGTGCTCTTGCAACTGCAATCAAAGCAATCGGGAGACCACCACATTCTCCAGCCACCTTCCTCGCTATGTCATAGAAATTGGTTGATTCAAAAGACCTGTTTGCCTTTTTCACAAACAAGGCCCAAGAATCTTCTTCTGATAGGATATTGAGATGAATCTTTTCTTGGCTCTTCATGGCATGACATACATTCCTTATCCTTGTGGTGAGTAGAACTTTGGCCTTGCAGTTTTGGAGCTCGTAGTGATCGGGGATCCCTATGAGAGACAAATCTATTGTCTTCCAAATGTCGTCCAAAATTATAAGGATCTTTTTTCCTCTCATTATTCTCTCCTTCAATCTAGCTGCTCTGGCTATTTCTGTCTGCTGATTCAAATTCAAGTCCAGCATTTCTGCAAGCTGTTGTTGAATCTTTACCAGGTTTGGGTTTTGGGAAACGACAGCCATAATCACATGATCAAAGAGCTTGCCTTTACCCACTTGCACACCGACATGTTTCACCATGGTCGTCTTGCCTATGCCTCCCATTCCATGGACCGCAATGACAGTGACGTTATCGTCTTTCAGTGCCTTCATGACCTGATCCATGGCTTGCCTTGTTGCTTCAAATGCTTCGAAATCTCCAGTTGACATGGTCTCAAACTCAACGGGTAGGTGAACTTGAAGCGAAACTGTTTCAAACCTTTTCTCTTCATTAAGCTTGTTCATTTCTTCTGCCTCCTTAACGGCTCTCTTGCTTAAACCGTAACGCCATTTCAAATTCGGACAGCAGCCTCCGAGGCATGTTTTGTCTTCTCCGGCTTCATTATTCAGTCTTTTGGCATCGTTTATGGCCTTGTCAACATCCTTGAGCCATTTTTGAACCTCGGACTTAACTTTGTCTCCATTCATTAACGCCGCATCCACACTTTGCTGGTAATCATTCTGCGTGGTCTCAAGCTTTTCTATCAGTTTTTCCAGAGACTGTATGTGTCTCTTGTAATGCACCAAGTAACCCACATTACGCTTCGCTGGAGTCCATAACAACTCACCAACTCGTAGTACAAAACTACAAATTTCCATACCTGTCCTTTTTAAATAAATATAAATAAATAACAGAGAAAAACAAATTGTAAGATTCAAAGATCAAACAATAAAATAGGTACCACCAAAAACGGAGAAACTATGTAGGATTTTGATAACTAGATGACTAACCTGGATCTTCTTTAGCTTCAACTGGTACAGACTTTGAGAGCGTTTTGTGCCTCGGACGAATCTCAATGACTATGAGAGGATGTTTAGGCTTGGTTCTTCTGATGTCTGATAACAGAAAAGGTAGACGAAGGATCAGCAGAGAAAGAATCCAACTATATTTTTTTCGTTTGTAGTTTTTGGAGTAGGACTGGGAACGAACTCTTTAAACACTTTCGAGCATCTCCAATCATTCTTCGAGAAATTTTCAGTTTGCCCGAGCACGGCCGTATACACCAAGTGTCATAATACAATTGGTTGAAGATTTTTTTTTTCTTTCAAATTTTCAACCAGTTGTATTATAACACTTGATGCACTCTACACCGGACGTGTTCTCGTCACCCTAAAAAATCTCTCATCCTTCCTATTTTGAAGCTAAATTAATTTTAGCTAAGCTTCAAAAGGATAGTTTGGACTTTCTAGTTGTCTGCTAATTAAAAATAGTTTGTTTTGAATCGATTCAGTCCAAAAATCTAATTTGTTTTTTAAATTGAGTCTAATTATAAGTTTGTAACATACCTATATTAATAAGACCATAAAATGTTTTAACCGAAATTTATTTAAGATAGTATTGAATACAACTAATAATGAGAGGTAGATTATAAACAAAAAAATATCTATAATATAGGCAACTAAAAATAATTTATCTGTGGTATAAGTAGATTATTGACAAAAAAGTAATAATATCTAGATATTATTTAGTAAAGAGACAGAATGCACTACAGTTGATGACACGCCCGCCCTGATATTCATCAAACATCAGGGTAGACACGTGCTGGCCGACACCTGAAGGTGACGAAGCCATATTAGGATGCATGAGAACTAAAACAAATAACCAACATAAATAAAACTTGTAAATTTAATTATAATTAATATGCAAATGAGGAACGTGTTCAGAGCATACAACTAATATAGAACATCAAAAAGAAATAATATAAAATTGAATGAACAAGGGAATAGGTCCTACACCAAGAGGACTCAAGATGTTGATGCCGGAATGCCTTGACGCAACGTATCGATTATAAGTTCTGAGGAGGCGCAAAACAAAACTTGAGTGGACCAAGTTGATACATAGATAATACTAAAATAGTTAATCTTTAATGTACTAACCCTCATGTTTAGAAAACTCGTATAGCATAATAAGTAATAGGTTTTTCCGAAATCCTAGCATGCCATAAAACCTTTCATAAAACATATATATCATATATAATGTGCTTAGCAGTGGTATATATATAAGGCATATACATATATATAATATTTCATTCGTCCGAAGGCATATAGAACACTTCTTCATTCATCCGAATGTTCTACATCACGCGCTAGTAGGTAGATCATTCGCGCGTAGGCACTACATCTCCCGGTCGAAGCCAATATAAATATCTTCCGGCCGAAGCCACTAACCTACGCCCAGCCGAAGCCAATATAAATATTTCCCGTCCGTATGCACCAACCAAACGCCAGACCGTAGCCAATATAAATACCTTCCACCTGTAGGCACCGTAGCCAATATAAGTATCAATCACCCGTAGGCTCCTACAGCACCCACTCTAAATCATATATAAAAGTATCATTCGCCCGTAGGCAGAACCGTTTGAAAAACCATTAAGTAATTACATAAGTATATATCTATCTTAATCGAAGTTCAGTAGCCAAAACGTCATATCGTAAAACCTATTAGTAGTATATAGTCATCAATCATATATACTACGAAGAACGTAAAATTGATAAAGTGTGGTACTTCAAAATATTCTCAGTAAAACATGATATCTCATAAAGTAAAATATAATTTACTCATAAAACGTAACCATTAAATCATGCTTTTCATGTATGCATTACTAATACTAAAATCATGCATTTTAGAAGAGGTCTACTCACCTTACATCATTGGCGAAGAGCTGTGTAAATAAGGGTGGATGGAAATGCCATTAATAAACATACCTAAGCACATAAAAGATCCAATTAATAAAACTCTATCATAACAATTGAATTTTGGAAAACATACATCATAAACGGGTTTAAGACGTCAAAAATTAGTCTAGGAGAGATTCCGACCGAAACCCGAAAAAATCAACCCACAGTCAACGTTGATTGTCCGGTCAACGGTCAAAATCAATGGTCAGTCAAAGTCAACGGGTCTGGGCTTGGGTTTGCGTTTTGGATTTGGGTTTGAGTTTTGGCTTGGGCTTGGGCTTGGGCTTGGGTTTCACATATGGGTTTGGTTCTGTTGGGTCAATGTGTTTGTAACTAGGTTGGGCCAAAAGTCATTTGGGTTTGGGCTTCGTAGCCCAACCCAACGGTTCTGGGTTGTATGGTTTTGGGTTTAAGGGTTATTAGATATGGGTTTGAGGATTTAGGTCTGGTCAACTTGGTTTCAGGTCATAGTTTGGCCGGTTTTTGGGCACAACTTCAAACACCCATAACTTCTTCGATACTTAACCAAATTAAGTGATTCAAAAACCAAAGTTGTAGTACTCAACGAGATGAAGAGAATGGTACCTTGCACGATGCCTAACTCACCGTGTATTGGTCAGAAAATGCCTCACAAGTGGCCGTGCTCGTCGGAAATTGGGTAAACTTTAAAAGTTCATAACTTCTTCAATACTCAACGAAATTAAGTGATTCAAAAACAAAAATCATACTTCTCGACGAGACAAAGAGAATGGTATCCTTCTCGATAGCTAACTCACCGTGGTTTGGTCGGAAAATGGCCTGAAAGGTAGCGGCCCGACTTGGTTTCGATCCCGACGATCCGGAAGGGAAGTTCGAGGTGAGTTTGGGTGTTCTAGGCTCGTGAGGATGAGACAAAGCTCGTGGTGCTCTTGGTTTGGGCGGTGGTGGAAATGTTGTCGTTGTTGTTGCTTGTAGTGCCCTCGAGGAGGGCTGGTTTTTGAGAGAGAGTGAAAGTGAGGGAGAGAGATGAGAGAGTTGTGTGAGAGAGGGAGAGCTCACAGGTCCAAAAGGGAAACAAAGGAAAGAGGGTCGGGGTACAACCAAAGGGAGTGGGCCCTTGGGCACACCAAATAAGACCCAAAAGCATAATTTTAAAATAAATGTCCCAAACTTAGTGAAACTACAAATATGCCCTTTTGTTCTGTAAATTCCGATGGATTGTTACAGTTGAAGGAATTTAATTTTACAATTCCTTAAAATTTTCAGTTTTATGACAGACTTAATAAAAAGATAATAATCAATGGACCTATTTTTAGAAAGTGGACTATTCCTCGTAATAACTCACAAATTGGATTTATATTGAATTTATCCTTACAAGAATACTAAGGTGTCTAGTTTCTGAGAATTACAACCACTAGCGGCCTATATAACTAAAGAAAGGATATTTATATAGTGATTGTAATTTGGAGCGCGTGATTATTATTTTTTTGAGTATTTACGACCATTAAAAAACATATCTATAATCTATTTGCAAGGAACTACTAGAGTTCATTTTTAAGATGCATGGTAGAGACTCAGTGCGTAGTATGGTTAGGGTTGAGTTTTTAAATTCCGACTTTAAATTTCAAGTAAATAGTTTCATTTCTAAATTTTTACAAGTTATAGTTATCATCTCCTTAACTTTTACACACCCACTACCCTCACTTCTACCATCATCATGCCACAACCACCTTGCCATTACCACCACCACGCCCACCATTATCGCAGTTAGTGCTACCGTTGCAACCGTTACCTCCACTCCCACCATCATTGTTGTAAACACCACAACTATGACTTCCACTATCAACACTGCCACTGCTGCCACCAATCATCAAACCTCCTCCACTACCCACCAGACCATCACCGTAGCCCTTAGCACATTTACCAACTACCACCTTCTGTATTTAAATTTCATTATATCTTTAGATTGGAAAATACTAGGGAAACCAAATTTCTAAACCAATTTTTGCAAAACAAATTATGTGGATTTTGATGATTGAATTATTGCTCAGTGTTGTTTAACGTGCTTATTTTCTATTTGTGACACATCATTTAGTTTGCAAACTTTATTTAAAAATTTAGTGTGACCATCTCAAACCCTTAGGTTAAAACCTAAAATTTTTAACCTAGAAAATTTAGGTTAACCACAAAGTTAGGGATAGATTAGCAGCCAAGAATTTACTTTGATTATAATTGATTATAGTTGACTTTGTATAGAATAATTAACTTGATTGTATTATTCCTTGATTATAGGATCACAGTTATATATATTTTTCAACTCAATGAATGAAATCCTTATTCTGGCAAACATCCTTTTTGTCATTCTTTACAAAAATAGCTCCAAAGTCACCGCCAAAACTCCGACGTCACGAACTCAGTCATTTTTTATTCTGTTTATATGGATGGACTCGTGAGGATGATACGAATACGATGATGGTAATTTGGAGTCCGTTCTCTAACGTTTGATGATTTGTGTTTGAGTTGCAGAGTGAAGAAAACACACGGGTTAGAGAGAGAGATGAGTATGAGGGAGAGAGAGTGAGAATGAGAGAGAGAGAGAGAGAGTGCAAAGGTTTGAGAGAGAGAGAAGGTTAGAGAGAATGGTGGTTTAGTTTGTTAGGTAGGGAGAGTAGATGAGTGCACGGGAGATGTAGGTGAGAACGTGGGAAAAAATCTGAAATCTGACATTCAAAATTCTGTGCTGTTAAATAATACCGCTTAGTTGGTATGTACAATTTTACCTATTGTTAGCGTACTTTAAACTAATGTAAGTTCTCGTTACAAATCCGATTTGAGTCTAGTTTGCGCTTATGCGTTCGTAATTACGAGTATTATTTTAATACGATAAAATGAAAATAAAACAAAAAGGCGGATAATAATGTACACATCGGATTCCACTTTATCAACAAGGACATAATCGACATTTTACATAGGAAATTAGTGACGGGTTGTCACAGTTGAAGCAAGTTGGGGTAAGTTTAAAACCTAAAATTTAAGTTTTACTCTAAGAATTGAAGTAGGTTTTAGCATTATCTTTTTAAATTATTAGATAAATAAGAAAGGAAACTTTGGAAATATAACCATTTTGAGAACCACCTAGTGGAATATAGCCTATGTTTTTCATTTGTTATAAAATTAACCAAAATTAAAGTTAAAAAGACTTAATTACCCTTATGTAGAACTCTCACCTCCTATCTCTACTGTCTGTCTCCTACGCTCCAAGTTGAAGAAAGAGAAAGCATTCCATTTTGCAGAAGAATCTCCCAAATTCCAATCCAGCAGAACACTTTCTCATTTCTTTATCCTAAATTGAATTCCTTAAGGGAGGAAGACAATAATATCAAATGTTATATAATTTAGATTATGATACTCTATTAGAAATCAGTGCATTTAGAGTATCCATCTCTGGATTATAGCATGTATTGCTCTTCCTCTCCAGATACAGGTAGGTACTGGATCGTTCGATTTTTAAATTGTAACTGTAATCCTATCGTTTTCTTGCGTTTTCTCGGTAGCCAACCAGTCAACATTTCTTTTCCGTGCGTGCAGATTCTTGGCAACCAACCGATTGAAGGTTTCGATTCGAAATCCATTGAGGGATTGAGATTGAGATTAGCATTGAGGAATCAGGTGTGTCGGAGATAAATAGCAGAGGAGGAGAACGAGAGTTTAACTTGTTGGTTTCTTGCGAGAAGTTAGCAATGATCATTGTACACACAGATTAATTGCCTTCAACTCATCCAACCAAAAGGACTATTTAGTATTTATAAATGGAGGGTCCTGAAGATTGACTGTTTACAGTTGGAGATGACAACACGTACAAAGGCATCCAAATAAAGTCGAAGCTCATGACAAACAGTCCTAGAGAGCGAATGAGTTCTTAATTAGTAGGTAGACAGCAAACATTTTCCCAAGCAAGAATTTAAGATGGACAATATGGTGGGTGAATATTTTGGCTACAATTAAACTATTTCGTTAATTGAATCATGTTGGTTTCTTGCGAGAAGTTAGCAATGATCATTGTACACACAGATTAACTGCCTTCAACTCATCCAACCAAAAGGACTATTTAGTATTTATAAATGGAGGGTCCTGAAGATTGACTGTTTACAGTTGGAGATGGCAACACCTACAAAGGCATCCTAATAAAGTCGAAGCTCATGACGAACAGTCCCAGAGAACGAATGAGTAATGTCTCTCTTAATTAGTTAGTAGGTAGACAGCAAACATTTTCCCAAGCAAGAATTTAAGATGGACAATATGGTGGGTGAATATTTTGGCTACAATGAAACTATTTCGTTAATTGAATCATGTTGGTTTCTTGCGAGAAGTTAGCAATGATCATTGTACACACAGATTAACTGCCTTCAACTCATCCAACCAAAAGGACTATTTAGTATTTATAAATGGAGGGTCCTGAAGATTGATTGTGTACCGTTGGAGATGGCAACACCTACAAAGGCATCCAAATAAAGTCGAAGCTCATGACGAATAGTCCCATAGAGCGAATGAGTACTGTCTATCTTAATTAGTAGGTAGACAGCAAACATTTTCCCAAGCAAGAATTTAAGATGGACAATATGGTGGGTGGATATTTTGGCTACAATGAAACAATTTCGTTAATTGAATCATGTTGGTTTCTTGCGAGAAGTTAGCAATGATCATTGTACACACAGATTAACTGCCTTCAACTCATCCAACCAAAAGGACTATTTAGTATTTTATAAATGGAGGGTCCTGAAGATTGACTGTTTACAGTTGGAGATGGCAACACCTACAAAGGCATCCTAATAAAGTCGAAGCTCATGACGAACAGTCCCAGAGAACGAATGAGTAATGTCTCTCTTAATTAGTTAGTAGGTAGACAGCAAACATTTTCCCAAGCAAGAATTTAAGATGGACAATATGGTGGGTGAATATTTTGGCTACAATGAAACTATTTCGTTAATTGAATCATGTTTGGTTTCTTGCGAGAAGTTAGCAATGATCATTGTACACACAGATTAACTGCCTTCAACTCATCCAACCAAAAGGACTATTTAGTATTTATAAATGGAGGGTCCTGAAGATTGATTGTGTACCGTTGGAGATGGCAACACCTACAAAGGCATCCAAATAAAGTCGAAGCTCATGACGAATAGTCCCATAGAGCGAATGAGTACTGTCTATCTTAATTAGTAGGTAGACAGCAAACATTTTCCCAAGCAAGAATTTAAGATGGACAATATGGTGGGTGGATATTTTGGCTACAATGAAACAATTTCGTTAATTGAATCATGTTGGTTTCTTGCGAGAAGTTAGCAATGATCATTGTACACACAGATTAACTGCCTTCAACTCATCCAACCAAAAGGACTATTTAGTATTTATAAATGGAGGGTCCTGAAGATTGACTGTTTACAGTTGGAGATGGCAACACCTACAAAGGCATCCTAATAAAGTCGAAGCTCATGACGAACAGTCCCAGAGAACGAATGAGTAATGTCTCTCTTAATTAGTTAGTAGGTAGACAGCAAACATTTTCCCAAGCAAGAATTTAAGATGGACAATATGGTGGGTGAATATTTTGGCTACAATGAAACTATTTCGTTAATTGAATCATGTTGGTTTCTTGCGAGAAGTTAGCAATGATCATTGTACACACAGATTAACTGCCTTCAACTCATCCAACCAAAAGGACTATTTAGTATTTATAAATGGAGGGTCCTGAAGATTGATTGTGTACCGTTGGAGATGGCAACACCTACAAAGGCATCCAAATAAAGTCAAGAGAGTTTTAACAAAATACTCCTGATACTGTTCACTTTTAACGAAAAACCATATTTATACATTTCCCTGGTACTATTCACTATACCTTTAAAAATGACTTTTAATTAAAAGGGAAGTTTTTTTAGACTTTTCGGTAGTTTTCCTTAAAGTCGAAGCTCATGACGAACAGTCCTAGAGAGCGAATGAGTACTGTCTCTCTTAATTAGTAGGTAGACAGCAAGTACTAAAAATATTAAAATCCGTAAATTCAAATTCCGTCTATTTGAAATTAATTAGTACTTTTTTTTTTAGAGATGGA